ATGAGTAGTTTCAATCAAAGCAGGCTCTGAAAGCTCTTTTTGCTTGACCAAGTTTTTGACACACCAAACTGCAGCATGTTAATAACAATCTCTGCCACCTTATCTGATGTAGTTCTTAAATGGTTTCAAAGCTACTGTATTTTTCAGAAAGAAAATAGAAGATAGTTACAGAAAATTATTAATGAAATAGTAGGTCAGGTGAGATGACTGTAATGTTGCCTGTTGCCTTAAACCTGTGAATCTTAAACCTGTGAAAGGCCATGGCCTGATGCTGTCCCGTCACTGCAGGAAGGACTGAATTTGGTGCAGAGTATGTAAGGTCATATCTACAGCACACAGAGCTTGTTGAGGGAATTCCTCCCTTTCCACTTGCACCTGGCTGGAAGCCTGCTGAGATATCCTGACAGGACAGCACTGTGTAGGCACAGCAGCTCCCCAGCTGACAGAATTAAGGCTTTGTTGTCCTAGGACTTGCTACTTTAGCTGTGATGCTCTGAGAACAGAGCTGTGCTGGTTGCTCAGCCCCATCCCAGGGACTTTAATGCTGTCATCCACTCTGTGCCACCTGTTTGGCCCTCAGGTTTCATTGCTGGGTGAATTTTTATCAATTTAAAGGTAAATCAAATGGTACAAATTCAGTCTACCTTTTGATTCAGCAATCAGGCAATGCCACTTGTGCTGGTGTTTATTTTGGGGGTTCACATGAGTACATGTGTCTCCCATGTAGTGAGTTTGCATGAGGCAGGTCTGTGTGAGTCACAGAGTATCTAGACTGTGTCTGGCACAAAAAGCTAAACTTCTTTCACTCCACACAGTGAGTTAAGGTATGAGGTAACTTCATTTCTGGTAGTCTTTGGAAATGTTATTTTATCCCACCATGCATAAGAGGGGCCTTCCAATGTTGTGGTTTTATCTTCTAATTTCAGAGACCATGATGTCAATATCTCAAATAGGCACAATAAATTAAGAGTTGTAGGTGGAATCATGCTTCAACCAAATTTAGGTTGTAGCAAATGGGTTAATATCTGCAAATGCATCAAACAGAAAAACATATGAAATTGAGGGCAGAAGATTTCTTCTTTATGCATTTCTAAGGGATTTTTGTTAGCTCTATATGCCTTCAAGATTTAGCAAATGTATGTGCAAGAAAGGAAGTATTTTGTCATATATTTGATTCCATTCTTTCTGCACTTGGGCAAAACATTCAAGTCAATTTACCCTTCTGTGGATAAACTGAACAGTATTGTATTTTATATATCTAATCCAGCACTCCTCTTCTAATTTGCTTTTATTTTTAATAAAATATGCAGTCCATAGACTTTTGCATAGTGTGTCTGCAGTATAACTTAATGTGCCCTTCTGTGAATTTTCATGCAGAAAATACCTAAACCATACAAGACATTGCTCTAACAATTCCATCTTCAGAAAATTTAGTGTGTGTGGTTTTTTTGAATGTGTGAATTATTGAGATAGCTTATCTGAAAGGTGGTGAAGGAGAGGGAAACCCTGTGCAGATGGAGAAATAAGATTTTTTTAAAAAATTGAGGGCTTTGGCAATTAATTTGGCAACTTTTCAAAGGCTTTGTATCAATGACATGAGATAATTGAACAATATTTTACCTATTAAAAAAGGAAATGTTCCTGATAGTAACAAGGGCTTGTATTTCAACCCTACTCAGTATAAACTATCTATATGGTAACTAGTGCATTCTTTATTTTTGCACATTTCACTCAATGTTTGTTTGGGGTGGGTTTTTTTGTTCTATTACTGGCACTTCATATGAGTCCTGTGTAATCAATCCAGAAATGTATTTTCTTTCAAAAATTTCTAGCTCCGTGTTTCCCTCTGCTTCTCCATAATGTTAGAAGATTCTCCAAAGGCACCAATAAGGGAATTTACATTATTTTCACTAACCGTGGACTATGCCATTTAACTTTGACATTAATCAAACTAGCCATGTACGTGTTCAGGAGTGGGTTTTGCAAAACCCACTTCAAATAAGATAACCACAGTGCTCTGCAATTGTTATTAATAACTTGGGATGTAAATGGTCTCTGGATTCTAAATTACATATTACTGATATTTTTGTCCTACAAGGACAAAATTCTGTAAAATTAGATTTTTTTCTCCCCATACCACTTAAGCAAACCCATAGTTTAGGATTGTATTTATCTGTGCTTCAATTTTACTTGGATTTCATCTTGCAAATGTCAGGTGGCACATATACTTCTAGTGTTTTGTTTGAGATGGGAGCAGCAAGGAAGAGGATTTTTTTCTCCTGGAAGTGGAGGATTGCCATACAGCTGTGAGTCCCCTTTAATTAAAGCCAGAGTAAACTACATCAGAAGGGCTGCTATTTCAGTGAAGACAGCTGAGCTGTCAGTGCTCTGCTTTAATTAGAACTTTTAATATTTCATCCCTTACTGCCCGAAGTGTGACCTGTCAAACTGCTGAGAGGCTGCCCCTTCCTGACAGAGGTGCAGCTCTGAGCCCAGGCCTGGCACACACATATCCAGTTTGTGTATGATCACTCGGTGGGTTGGTGGTCTTTTCTTTGTTGATGTGCTCGTTGTCTGCAAGAAAAGAAAATCACTGATCTATTAATGCTAAAGGGTACTTGGACTTGTTAAATAAACTTGTCAAAAGCCAGCCCACATCTCCTAACCCTGATATTTCACATGTTTTGAGAGTGTCCAGCAGTTTCTTTCCCTCTGACACTTACTAGTGAAGCTTAAGAGGCAAAAGAGAGAGGTGGCCATGGGACATAGATCCAAATTAGGGTGCAGTTACCAAGTTGGATTGAGAGATTTCTTATCTTTCAATGGCTGAATGGGGAATGTTCTTTTCCCCCTGTTGCGTTTCTCCCTTTCCCAGCTCCCTGTTCTTCCTTCCCTTGATCCCAGGAGGGGTTCTGGAAGGCTGCAAGGCAGAGAGAACAGGAGTGGGGAAGGCAGATGGCAGCTTATGTGAATTGTCAGTGAACTGCTCGTGGTGTCCTGGGCTGCTTTGTGTCACCCTCTGCAGTTCCTCCTCACTCTGGAGTGAGTATCATTAGAGAGTTAATTACCCCATGCAAAGACCCATTTAAATAGGGAGGTAAATGCATCTGACTGTAAGTTTTTCACATTTAGGCTTTGCTATTAAGCATGTGAACAGCGTTCAACTTGCATTTTGACAACTGGCTCCCCCTTGGAGCTGATCAGAGCAATGCCTACCCTGCAGCTGGAGCACTGAACCAGAGCTGCACTGCTGCTGTTTGATACAGTTCCCAGGGGACACTGAAATATTTCATACACAAAGCTGCTTGATCTCTAGCTCTGTGCTTTTTGACACTGCTTCAGTGCAGCCCAATTTCTTGGATTTCACAAAGCGCATTTCTATGTTAAAGACCAACTGCAGAAATCCAAAGCCTTGCATTGGTAGGTCACAAGCCAAAGTGGCCAAAGTGCCTTTTGTCTCTGTAATAATATTGCCTATACCATAATTCTCTTTAAATCATGATATGGACTGTGGAATGAACCTATTAAATAATTTCTTAAGGGGAAGAAAACCCTCTTGAAAAGAAGGTTTGAATATGTATCGTAAAATATATTAATATGTACTGTAAAATACACTGGCTATCATGAATAGAAATAAAATTGTTTAGATGGAGAGCAAAATTATTGTCCAGAAACTGACAATACGAAATCTAAAAGTAAATCTTCATCTCTGGAGGAGTATATCAATCTTACTTATTTTGTTTTTACAAAGTACATTAGCAAATACATAAATAATGGTTTCTCTGTCTGTATCCTTCTAATTGCTCTCCTCCGGAGTGTGCAGCCTCTTCACTTGCTCTGTAGCTTTTGCAGCTCCATCTATCCTAAATCATTGTGTCATCAGTGCACAGGGACACCAGTGATTCACTATAATTTATAGCAGTGAGAGCTGAAATAGTCTCTGTCCTAAGGCTGCCACATTGTGATGTAGTTTGTGTGACAGTTTAACCAAGAAAGCGCAGCTGAGAGGCAGGACCCATCCCACAACACACATACAGTATGGGATGTAACTTCAGCAAGGTGTCCTGAGGGAATTATAAACAAAGAATATAATTGGAATGTTTCTGGATATAAGTAAACCTCTCAGTTCAAAGTAGTATTTAGCAAGAACTGAGGGAAAATGATTTTTGAAATTATTTAGGAGGATGGAACTGGTTTACTAAAAAAATGAAAAGGCCTGCCTTCAGGTTGTGATCAAAGCAAAAATGTCTCTAGGATTAAATCATAGTAAAAAGAATGTCCATCTGGTGTGTCCATGGAAATAGAAACTGCAAATAGAATACTGTACTGCAAGCCCACCTTTCCACTTTATATTCCCAGAATTTTTTTAGTAAAAATGTGGTTTGAGCTTGATTGACATGTTTTTAACATTGTTGTTTAATTTGCTGTGGTGTTTTTCCTGAAAATAGTAGTTTAATTAAAAAACAATTTAAACTTTATTTATACTTTTTTTTTTCACAGTGTCAGATGATATATTTATTAGAGATTGAATTTAGTGGAAAAAATATTTCATTTAAAATAGAACAAAGTATTTAATGTATGCAAAAAATTGCTTTACTTGGTGTTCCTTTAAAAATTACATTTTTAAATTGACATGCTAATTTTTGGTAAGTAATCTGAAAAACAGTTATTCTTACAGGTTAAGTAAAAACCAAAGGCAAAGTGGATTTACTAAATTTCCTTTGTCTAACTGAATACAAATGGTGCACACATAGTTGACAGTGACTTGTGTTATTCTCTCTCTAATCTCTTTCTTTTTAATAATTTGATAAACTGTATCTTTGCTTATGTAGTAGTGCCTCTTTGAAGCACACTTAGCAGTTGGAGGTTTGCAGTTTACATTTGCATGACTGGTTCCAATTATTTTTTTCCTGGTAAACACTAAGGGTTATGCCTCAGATCCTGGCACAACAATAATTACCAAGCAATTCTGACCCCTTTTATCCATATCCTCTCTCTAGAGCTACATCTACAATGACCCTATGAGCTACTACATGAGGCAGAACCTCAAAGAGCTATCACCTCCTTTGGCCCATGCATCCAAATCGCTCCAGGATTTCCCTGAGGATCCCCGTGGGAGGACGCTCAGCCAGCTGCAGCCAGCCCAGCTCTCGCCGGAGTCGGGAATGGGGCTCAGCCAGAAGAGCCTGATGGCCTCACTGCACTCCTACATCACCCAGAACCTGTCTGCACAGAGCAGCGAGAAAAGCCCTCACAGCAGGACTAAAGGGTCCCGGGTTTATGCTGAGAGATTGTACTCTACACAAGTCAGTCCTTTTGATGGAACTTTAGCCAAAGGAAAAGCGGAAGATTTCAAAATGAGGAAGCTGTTCCAGCCGAGGCCTGTGCCTGGAGTGCTGAGGCCAACCCCTGAGATGTTGAGTCATAAATCTCCTTCCCAGGATGATCCAAAGGACCCTCTGAGCATTGTGGATGGTAAAGCTGATACTTACTTTTTTTTGCTTACCTGAAGTTTCCCTTTTGTTCACTGAGCATTTTTGAGAAAAAGAAAATAAAATTAGACATTTAATATATCTCCTAGTATTGGCATATTTATATCTGCCATAACACAGTAATAATGTTCACCATTCCAGCTACTCTTTCCCTGCAAACATCTACCCACCTTCTTCAGCCCACCTTCCATATGTGTGCAGAAATATATGGCATTTAGTAAGACATAGCATTTATGTAATTGATTATATTTTCAAAGCATTTTACAAACAACGCATAATTATGGGTATATCTTCACTACCAAATCTGTTTTTATGCAGTCATCCCACACACTATATATAGATAATGCAGAAATGCCTGGTTTTGTTCTACGTCTCCTCATTTAACTAGAAATTCAAGGACCATGGGTAAAATTCAAAGTTAAGGACAGAAGTTAACTGTTAGATGAATTCTGCTGCAGAACACAGAGAATGGAAGAGTCTGTCAGTTCCATGGACAGGGGGACAAGAAAGTGGGGTTGCATCTAGTTTTGTCTGGACATTCTATAACAGAGAACCCATTTCCTGGATTTTCATCTTTTTTTTTTTTTTTTTTTTTTTTTTTTTTTTTTTGATAATGCTGTTTGACAATGATCGGATTGCAGTTTATTCTGAATGTGGTAGTTCAACAAACATTTGAATGAAAATGGAGGGTAACATCCCCATGCTGTGATACACTTAAAGCACTGCTTTGTAAGATGAGTCTTGGCGATCACGTAGACTTTATAACTCTGATTCATTTTGTTGTTTCTTTAAACTAATCCCTCAATGTTATTCCAGTGGTTTAGATGCCTGGAAAATGAAAGAGTTGATCCCCAGCCATTGTCAAGCACTTGTATCTGTTACACTGCAGTCACCACTATCCCAATGGATTTTGGTGATGTGTAAGAGGCTCCTTTTTATCATCCATAAAGTGTAGTGTTGCTTGATTTGTTTTGTTGTTTTTTTGTAAATATCCTTCAAAGCAAGAACACACACAAACACACAGTAATGTCAGAGCTTCAGTGGAGGAAGGATAATGCTTGCAGTCTAAAGGATGCTCAGGAGTGAAAGCATTCTTGGTATGGTGCCCAGAGATAATAGGTTTCAAGGAATGAACTATAATGTAAAATCAAATCCAGGTGGCACTGTAAGACTCTTGCACAGGTTAGACAATTTTGTTGCTAGACTCAAAACAAACTAGGCACATGCTGGTTTCATTATCCTCCAGCTGTTCCACTTCACCTTTCCTGGTAGGAGCCAACTGGGAAAAAAATGCTTAACACTTACAGGGAATAACATGTTTCACAATTCATTGGGTTGTACTACTTTGACTTCTCATACATAATATGCCCTGCAGGAACTTGTGCTATTGCATTTGCTTTTAAATGTTGCATAGACAAGGCATTATGAATTGTTTGAGTAGGAAATAATGTTGTTTCCTTTGTATTTTTGAGCCACTTAATAATCTCACAAGAAAGTGGTGAGGACAAACCCCAACACATTCATTGCTTAAAATCTTGTCCATTGGAATGAAAGTGGTTTAGATTCAGATTTCCCAGGCTGACCACACAACCTCTTTCTGCTTTTAACCTTTCTCCAATCTCTCTTGTGCTTATGGATTATTGAAGGTTTGTGGGTTGTTTTTCTCGCACTCTGTGGACGACAGAACTGTAAAAAAACTGGAAGGCATGGGGTGCTCAAGTCTCTGATCCATCTGATAGAGGATTAGACAAAGGCACTGGACTGGGAGAACAATCCAGAAGGTACTCAGCAGATTAGTACTGAGAATTGCTGCAAAACAGTGGCAGGTAAATTTGCTGAAAAGGCACCCTGAGGGACTAATACAAAAGAAGGAAATGTGGAGTTATTTTTCTATCAGATTTGGAAGTTGTTACCTCTAGGAGTAGCATGATGTGCGTGGGTACTGCCTTTGTAGTCACTGTGCAACACTGGAATTGTTAATCTCTCCTCTGCACCATCCGTATTTAGAATTTGGCTCAGTTTGATGTGGCTTGTTCTAGTCTACTGATTTTTTGTGTGTTAAATATTACAGAATACGTCTCTCTGTTCCTTTGAAAAGGTCACAGAATTAGTAATTCAGATGTCTTAAAAAAAATAGCAAACTTCCATGTTTATGGAAAAAGGAAATATTTTTTGATATACGTCCTCTTTCTGACAAAGCTGGGACCACCATTCCACGTGGTGCTCAGCTGCTGAATCAGCTAACATGTGGTCAGTAGGGTGATGGAGTTGAAGAAGACAGACCACTCTGTGGAATTTCTAACAAAGTTCCTGCTCCCATACCATGTGGTTTTCAGGCAAGCTGGCTTTGGATCTTGTGCCAGCAGAGTATGAGGCATCATTTTTATTCTGTAAAATAAAAAACTGCCTTCCCTGGATAAGGTGCTATTGTTGCCCCCTAGAGAATTCTACTGGTGGACCTTATATTAAAAATTACGTCTTCTAGGACATATATGTCTTTTCTGCCATTATGGTTCCAGGGTAACTATAAAAGGCAGTTTGCATTCATCAGTTGGAAAGCTGGAGCTAAGGGAGAAATCTGGTTTGCAGTACAAGCCCTGTGAAACATGACTGAGCATTGCTGAGTCTACTTAGTAGGGAGTCCATGGGAGATTATAAAAGCTGTGCACAGGTAAATGTATGTTCAAGTACATGTGCTGCTTAAGTGCTGTGCCATTGCAGTATCCATCTGCTTTTTGGTTTATCTCCAAGAATATTTTCTGACTTTAATAAATTCATCATATTACCCAAAGGTGTTTGTAAACAGATGCAGTGATATTTGTCTGTTTATCAGTGTTACCCAGTAATTTGCAAATTATTACAAACATGGACAAGTGCCATAACAAGATGTGTAAATATCCATATTTACCATGGACAAGGATTAATATCATATCAGTAGCCATGTGAGGTTAGCAACACTCTTTATGTAGACCTGCCTTTTACCAGGCTGTTACAGACACCTTGGTGACTGTCCCTCCTGGGGTACAAAAAACATGATGTTCCTCATACTTACCAGCTTTGGTTATTGCCTTTGGTTATTGCCTTTGGTCCTTGACATTTTAAGTCACTTTGTAATTGTTCAGTAAAAGTAGATATAATGCCAAAGTTTTACTCACATCAGTGCAGTATTTAGGAGTCTGATTAACTGTGCCCAGGTGGCAATGACCAGGCCAGGAATGCCAGTATTAGAGGAGCAGGAGGCTCCTCTATATAATGTTGAGGTTCTAGTGAACCAGAAGAACCTGCAGTGAGCCTGTCAGTATTATCCGGAATAGGGTCTGTGGCCATTCCTTTTTCGTGTTTTTCCTTGCCCTGTTCCCCCATTCCCATTTGTTTGAGATTAAGACTCCTGTTTTGTTGACAGTGGATATTAAAGATTAGTCTGAAGATGGACTGGAGAGGTAAGACTGGGCTAAGAATATAGGTAAAGAGAAAAAGTTAGTTTGGAAAAAATGGAATGGAAATGACAAGACTACATTGCCTACATGTTGTTGAGGAACTCAGTAGTTGGTCTTGACAGCTGGCTGAGAATCAAATGAAATAAACAAAAATCTAGTTGTGTTGCATTAATATAACTCTTTTAATTATATATGTCCTGAAATATAATTCTCTTTTAAGATTTATCTTCAAATGATGTTTTATTTGTAAAGTTTTAGTTTTGATTTGGATCTGACATATATTCTGTCTTTCCATTGCTGACTTTATTAGCTCTGCTTCAATAATTTAGGCTTTCCTGTCAAGATATTGTCCAATAGTTCTATAAAAGATAAGATCAGAAATGATACCTAAGCAGACACAAGGCTCCTGTGGCAATGCAACAGTAATATTTTCTTCCTCTAGCTTAGTTTTCTGCGTTTCTGCTATATGGCACAACCTCTCACCTCTCTGTCAGGTAGCTCTTGTGCTTCTTGAAAATGTGTCTTGAAGTCAGGTTGGTCAAGTGCATCAAAAAGTTTTGTCGCAGTTTGGATTAATTTGTTCTTGCAAATTACCTTCCTAAGCAAAAACATTTGGTCACCATGCTTTTACTATATTATTAAATTCATAACAGGGAATGGATACAATAAAGTGAAAGGAAACTTTTCAAAGTATTCTCTGAAATGTTGCTAAGCTTCTGTCAAACTTCAGTATTAATTTTGCTGCCTCCACATATCTTGGCCCGGGGAGTTTGGCACAGATTGAGTTTACATCTTTGATTCACATTTCTGAGCACTTGCTTTCCTGTACAAAGCACTCTGCTATTCCAGTATGGTACCAAACTCTTTGTTGGCTGTCAGTTTGATGTAACATCACAGATATAACCTGTCTATTTTTATTGATAATCACAATTAAGTGTACTTAAAACTGTGTTTTTTTAAAAGAAATTTCAAAAGTTCACATTTTGCAAGATTAGCTTGTTTTTTTTATTACTGAATTTTATAATTGAATTAGTAGAATTTTGTAGTAACATCATGGTGGATTATTGGAAAGATGTTTCCTTTTTACCTGGAAAATAGAAGAACCACCTTCCCCATATGTTGACATGCTCTCAGATTCACAGTAAACCTATTATTTAAGCTGTTTAAGTTCTTTTGCTTTTTATGGACTAATTAGTTAAGGGAAAATGACATTATTTTGGTTTGTGAATTTTGCTCAAGTCAGGAGAAATTAGTCTTTGCCTTGAGATGGAATTAGGAGGCTGATGATGAGATGCTGATGGTGAGCTCTTCAGTTAAAACTGAGGGATCCAAGAAAGGACAGACATGTCCAAGGTCTTGGCCTCTTATTCCCAATGAAAAATAATCTTTGATGCTTGTTTCCCTGCAAAATCACAGATGTTCCAGTGCCTCTTCCCTGAAGCAGAATCTGTTAACTACTTTTATTTATTTCCTACTCTATATGTACTTCTTCCTCCTTTGTTGTGAGGAAAAAGAAAAATCCTTATTTTTAGCCCTTCTTATGGCATTGTTTTCCCCTTTTTTCCTACTTTTAAATTCACTTTTATGTGAGCCTGAAAACTGACAGCATGGTCCAAAAGCCTTGCTCACAGATGATGAACATGTCCAACTACTGGGCTTAATCTGGGCAGTGTTAGTATTGAAAAAAGAGGTTGGATGGTGTCTTCAAACTGCTCAAATGTAAATTCATACATTCAGTAGAGATTTAAAAGCAGTCCTTATCCTCTTCCTACACAATACTATGTGAAAGAGTTTTCTTTCTTGCATGCATATGTATAATTATGTTAAATATCTTATAAAAATGAATAAGCAGAACAGAGGCATGATTGGAAATGGTTTTGGTGTGCTACAGTAAACACCACATTTAGTGTCTTACACTCCAGGAGACATAATGCTGAGTTTTACAGAGTTCTACAGACTGACAAAGAAGTAGAGATGCAATATATGCAGTCAGAAAAGTGCCTTCCCTGGGGAGCTGTTATGCTCCATCTTCTGACTCACCTTTAATATCCATTGTCCTTGAATTTCCTTATCTTCGAAACTTTTATCACATCAAAGGTGTTTTGCTATTTTGTTTTGTTGTTTATTTCTCAATGTGACTGGTAAAACATTCATAGCTGGCAAACCAAAACAAGTTCTATATCTGTAAGTTTATATCTATATTTAAAGATATATATATCTATATTGTGTATATCTATCTGTATCATATGTATCTGTAAATATATATTTAAAAATTATATATGTTCCAAAAGAAATTAATACAATTTAGAAATTTTGTCCTTTACATATCCATATATATAATGGACATAGAATTATATCCCCTTCTAATCAATGAGGAGCTTTTTGATTGAAAGACAAAATATCTGACTCTCATTTTTCCCCAGGACTCTGTATAGCTGCTTGTGAAAGCAAATCACCAAAGAAAACTGATCTCTAGGAAACAGTAATGTTGTTCATACTGTTCTTCAGCTAAAAAAAAGTTAGGCTACTTTAAAAGTTAGGCTACTTGTCTTCAGTATTTTGAGTCAATTTAGACTAGGAAAGGATGTGCTTCTTGTAAAAAAAAAGTGATAATTTCATGACCTCTCTCTAGAAGAACTTGCTGTGTTATATAATAGCATATATACCCCTGTCCTGGCACAGATTCACCTCATCATAAACTTTAACATCCATTAAGAATACTGTGCTTTCTGTAAGGAATGCAGCATGAATGAGTGTGCCTCCCTTTAAAAAGCAGATACACTTCATGAAAAGAAAGCTATCTTTTAGGAAAAGTTAAAGATATAAGCACATGTGTTTCATGTATGCAGCTAAATCATGTGTTTATGTTGTTTTGTGATCCAGAGGCACTTATTAAAAATGTATTGAAGGACCTAGAGAAACACCAAGTGAATGTGGAGAATCTCAGCTCAACAGAACTGGATGAAATCGCTGATACTATCGCCACTGCAATTCAAAATGTTGACATTCAGGAAGAAACAGAAAGAAATGCTGGAAAAACTAAAGAAGACAAAACAGAAGCACAAATGAAGAAAGGAGATGCTCATGGAAGGGCAGAGCTTCAGACTGGATTAATGGAAAACAGTGTTAATATACCAGGTATTAATTTTAAAAGTTAAGTACAGCAAAAGACAGCTACCCTAATTTTCCTCTATTGCTTCACCTTAATGCTAGAATTCTAAAAATTAGTTTTAAAGAAGATGGGAGGGAAAGCTTCTGTATTTCCCAAAAGGATGTGGAATTTTTAGATTGTTGTTTTCTTTTTACAGCATGTTCTTAATTTACCAAAAGAAAATCTGTTTATGAACACTTGATGTTCAAGCTTCACAAACAAGATAAACCCAATTATATTGAAATAAGAATTGCTTTATGCTGTGTGGTCTAATTTTTTATTCTTGAAAATGAGATGTTTAAGCAAAATGATAAGGGAAATTACTTTATTACAAGATGTATTTCAAAATATGCAGAGAAAAAATATTTTTACAGATGATTTTTTAACATGCCTCAGTTACTTGCAGAAGAAAATCTGTGACAAGTACAGGTACAAACCTGCTCCTTCCCTTTTCATCTAAGGTTATTTGTTTCTGTCTGCACACATACTTTCCTGGTGATGCAGATTCAGGAGCCACAGTAAATGTCATTAATGAGTGAATACCACAGTGGAAAATAAGTTACTGTTCATCCATTTTCTATTTTAGGAATGTTATATTACCTAGTACACCAGAAATGTATACTGTAAGTCATAAAAAATGTTTTTAACTGTCTGTTTTCATGGTGATATACTGAAATCCTTACTAGTTAGGGATATTCTGGTAATTCTGATTACCAGATTTTGTTGTCGATTAAAAGGGTCAAACCTGAGGATTTATCTTGAATCATGCTGAGAAAGATGAGTGACATTCAGTTCATAAAGCAAAAAAGCCAGTGTTACTTGACTGAGGTTAAGGATGTGACTGAATTTTATCACTGTAGCTAAACTGTAACATTATTTTGGTGAATCATATCTATTGAAATATGTCATTTTCTTGAACTAAAATATGTATGAAGAAAATCTGTTTCCTTTCCCATTACTGTAAATGCCCTTGCAGCAAACTAGAGCCATTTTATTCTGTTTTTTTTCTCAGATATTGGTAAACTGATATGATGATTTGACACTTGGTTAGCAAAATAACACTATTACATTGGCTCTTGAAGTACTCTGTCTATTGATCTTGCATTAATTTGCTATCAAAGTGGGGTTAGAATAACAATAACAAATTATACACTGCTCCTTACTCTGCCCTTTCAGCTTTGATGTCTCAATGTTTAAATTACATAAAAAGGCCACTGCTAAAAAGCAGCCTATGAGAAGTCTGTGTTTTGTATATGATATTTGCCCTTCATAACTATATATTTGTGCTTTCCATCTCCTACAGACAATGGAGTGCATGAAGCCAGCGTGAGAACTCAAAAAGAGGTAGAGTACCAGTGTTTTAACAAAGCAAGTGTTCCTTCTCAGAATATCAGGTTTCTGTGCAGTGAAAGACAAACTCACACTTCTGAAATATAAGACTTGTTCTGTTTTTTGTGGCTGTGATTCAATGTCACATATAGACACGTTGTTGTTGATGCATTTAAATATTAAATGAGCATTTATTGAAACCTTAACCAAAATTAATTTTGATGTTCAAAAAGTAAAATCAAGTCCTTTTTTTACCCTTTCTCTAATTTTTAAATAGACAGAATTGATAATTGATTCACAAAGTTCAGACAAATTCAAGCTTTTCCTCAAATCAGTAAATTTTGAGCTTTTGAGAATTCTTTTCCCCTTGTCCTTTGGCTCATAGTTCTGGGGAACATCAGAGGTATTTCAAAAGCTCTAGGCATTACATTTTGTACCTTAGCTAGTAGCATCAAAATTAGCATTTTAATCCAGACTACTTTTGCAATTTTCCTCCTGAGCTTTGAATCATATGCTGTGGTCTGCTGTCCAATATTTAGCCATTTTTGAGGTATATTCATCTTTATCTCAGTTTCATGGAGCAGAAAAATGTCAAAGGAATATTTTAAAAATTGTGTCAAACTTCTCCTACTAGGTACTCTATCAAAAGCTAATACTACAAGACTCAGAAAGGGGCAAATCCTCTTGTGTTCACAATAAAATCTCTTCAGCCCTTCTACCAAGCAAGGAAAGCACACAAGGACAGTGTAGCAGGAGCTTTGAACACCCACAGGAAAATCTTTAAGGAATGAGGTACTGCAGTCACAACAGACTTACAGAGGATCCCATGTATAAATTTCCTTGTGACAGTTTGAATAGGGAATATTTGAATAGAATTTATTGTGACACGGAGCACAAAGTGCCCATTAGCCATCATTTCCTCCCAAATGCTTGGCTGCAATAAAGTTATGTAATGAAACTAGCTAATGAACTTTTTCAAGCACCTGTTTTGACTTTGGCTCATTTGCTTATTGTTGATTTATTAGACAGATTTTGGTTTTCTGTGATCTTATGTTTAGCTTGTTGGATCACTCACATACAATTGTCACCAATGCTAGAGATGAAGAAGGGAAACAGAATTGGTCATACAGTATCTGTTCCTTTTCCGCTGTTATAACTTGTGAGACCCAAGAGGGACCAAAGTTTCCAGGCCCAACACAGGCATATTGATGGACATTTTATTTTTTTCTCCTTTTCATTAACTTACCTGATAACAAGGTTTAGTTTTCATCAATATTAGACACACAGACACACAGAAACAACTGGAAAAATATAGTGGCATAATTTAGTGCTCTATTATTATTACTGAATAAACAGCATGTTCTTAACATAGTCTAGCAGTTTATAGAAGTTAAGAAAATGATCATGCAACACTTGTATGAGCAGACTCTACCATATCAATAAGAGCTTGAAAAATTATATCCAGATTTGGTGAGTACAACCTTCCTGTGCTTAGTTTTAAAAATAATATTGTTCTTTTAATACAGGAGAACACTGCAAAACTAATTAGATTCTTGAATGAGAATGCATTAGCTGAAAATATGCATAAAGACCTTTTTCCTGAAGAACCTACAAAGACAGAAACTAAGAAATCTGAAGAAACTGATCCACTGGCCTCAGAAGAAACAAATGCTGGTGTGGAAAATGTAAAAAGTGAGACTTTCTCAAGGGAGCTGACAACTGCCAAGAACAGTGAATCTGACTCCAAAGACCCTAACCAGACCAGCTACTGGATTAAGAATGCTTTAATGCAGGAAGGAAATTCCTATGAAAAACCTCAGAAAAGCACAGGACAAGGCTTACAACTTGAAGTAAAGTCTTCTGAGGAGAAAGAATATGGCTATATTGTGACAGTGAAAGAGTAAGTACAACAGCCGATTTGAATGTCATTTTTAACTGGGGAGAAGATAAAGTCATTGCACCTAATGAAATATGAATGTACAAGAGGAAAATGCCACAGGCCTGATTTTTAATAAATCTGAAACTGTTTGGAACCTGTTCAGTGCTTTGATGAAAATACAAGCAAACAGTTCCGTTTTCTTACAGTTGCCTTTCCTCCCTTACGGAAGACATTAAATTTGTAGGTCTTTTGCTTACACCTCTCTCTATCTTCTCATGTTCTAGTGACCTTCCAATATGTCAGTAAGTGTGCTTATGGTTAGGATGTGAGCTTTAAATATTTGACTTGAAAGTAGTCTAAATATCAATGCCTGAGTCATTCTTTCAAAAAAACGACATACAATAATAAAGTGCAGTATTTTCTCTGTGATTTCATTTTGATCTGAAAATAACACTTATAGGAATCCAAACATCACATATGCAGCTAGTTTAGAAAGAAAGATCTGATGATTTCAGGTCATGCCACTAATGAATTTGACATTTAATACTATACTTTCAAAAAGGTAACTTTAGCCCCCTAATGATACACAGTTCATTACAGCATTTGGGATTTTAGAACCATGTAGGCACTTCTACATCTTTTTCCCCTTTGTAGAACAATGTTATATTTGATTAGCAATCCTGACTCCTGTGAGAAATTGGGAAATTCTAGGATGAGCTTACAAATCACTGCCCAGCATCATAGAGAAACTGAGGCAGAAATTTCTTTAGCATGTGTTGATTCTTTTGTCTGTCTTAAACTTATTACTGGGATTGAAGGCAATAGAATTATGGAGGATTCTTATTTTCGCTATAGTGTATTGCATTGAAATGCATATGACTGCACATTAGAAAGAGACCAGAAAATGGTGGAATACCCTTTAACTGCACTTCTTTGTTCCTGCCTAGGAATGCTATGTGAAGCAGTAGAAGACAGTTTTTCCCCAGCTCAGAACTACTTCCCTACATCCCCCAGCTCTTTTAACTCATATCAGTGTGGAAGACTCCTCTATTCCAAAGAGTATCTTAATGACACAATCTTCTTTGACTATCCAGACTTATTTGGCTCATAAATGGTAAAGTTTAGAACTGTCTGTGAAATGGGAGACATTCTGAATTTCAGTGTTCACAACCTGGACATTCTTCACAGTATCATCTTAATTGGTTTTCTTCCTAGCTAGTCTCCCAATGATGGTTTTTCCCTGAATTATGTCTAAGTATTCAATGAAGAAGGTAATTTGTCCAAAGATTACTGGTTCTAGAGGAATCCATATATGCAAATATAATCTACCTTCTTTACAATTTTTAATTTTAATTGGCTGGATGGCCAGAGGTAGAGAGTGGTGGGGAATGGAGTTACATCCATGGTTGTAACTCTGGCCAGTCATAAGTGTGTGCCCCAGGACTTGGTACTGAAGCCAGTTCTGTTTAATATCTTTGCTGATGATCTGGATGAAGGAATCAAGTGTGTCCTCAGTCAGTTTTCAGGTAGAATCCAAGTTAGGAAGGAGTGTTCATCTTCTGGAGGGCAGGAAGACTGTAGAGAGAAAAGCCTCACCTTGCACCAGGGGATGTTCAAGTTGTATATTAGGAAAAACTTCACAGAGAGTGTTCTCAGGCTTTGAAACAGGCTGCCCTGGGAAGTCACAATCCCTGAAGATATTTAAAAGGCACGTACATGTGTCACTTAGGGACACAATTTAGTGATGGACTTGGCAGTGGGTTAACAGTGGGACTCAATGATCTTAGGAGTCTTTTCCAATCTAAATGATTCTATGATCCTGTGATTCTGCTCAGTGCAGACTCATAGCTCATAGCTGACATTTATGGGGAGACCTATTCCCTATCAGCTTCTGAGGTTATGGTCCAAGGAGGTATTAGCACTGCTGCAGTGAACTCCATGAAATGCTAAGAAGATGCCAGCATTTAATCATGCCACAAACCAAAGATAAACATTTCCATCAAATACCTGAAGTAAAGATTTTTGATACTTTAAAGACTTGTCAAAATGGCAGTCTAATTGTCAATGGCAAGAACAGTAGGTTACTCCTGCTGTGTTTGTCAAGTGACCTTTCAGATGGTTGCAGTGCTGCAATACATACCAATCCATATTATCCATCAGTGCTAAGCTTTGGAATGAATTGACACTTTCTGTGTAGAAAATTGTCTAGCAAATCCTCTACTGTGCTGCTTCAGTATTTTATTATTCTGGGAAACCAATCAAATTGGTGATTTACTTTGTTTACTCTCTTGTCTTTCAAAAAATTGCTATTCTACCACTGGAATATTTGTGTAAGATTTTTTATTTCTCAGTGTAATTGCTTTGAAGTGTTTTATTAATTTTAACTCTAAAATTCTAAAGTAATCTTATTTTTTAAAAATGATCTATGGGATGTTATTTTCATTTGCATTCTACTTTTGCCATAGTTATAAAGAACCTCTGTTATAGTTGGGATACATCAGTGTGAGCTCTCTAATCAGAGAATTCTTGCTTTTGGACTCTTTCTATTTTCTGAAATTCTAGTTTTTCACATTTGGGAAACTTTTTTTTTGTTTAAAAGCATGCCAGTTCTCCCATTTGTTTGGCAGTATTTGCTGTAAAATGAGGGCCTAGATCCTACAATCAAAATATTTACACAGTGTTTAGTCTCCTGTGTCTCATGAGGAAACCCAAAGCCTGACTTTCCAGAACATGTAGTTCTTACCACCTCCAGTAAATCTAAATGTGAGCTGCTGCATGCTCAGCAGTTTAAATAGCCAAGCTGGCATACAATTTCTCAAATATGGATTGAGTAGTTGGACTTAAACACACTAAGAAAAATCCTAGTTTGAAAGTTCCTCTTTTTCCACTGCTTACCGCAGTCTTTCAAGCTTCAAAATCAAGTCAAGCTAGTCTGAAGCCATGCTTGGACACCGAATGCAGAGCAACCTGTCCTGTTTTGTGATTTATCAGAAGGCTTGTACTTGAAGTTATTCATACAAAGTCTACATCACAGACAGCTCATGGCAGCTCACTTAGCTTGTGAGCCAACTTCTGGCATTGTTGTATTATGCATTTCCAGGATAGCTCATGTTTTGTCATATGTTAGCTCTCAGTTCCAGACTGTCTATGTAAAATTGTATAGGCTGTAAATCTGTTCACAACATGTTAATCAGGTTGGATCCTGCATGCATGGCTCTGCATTTCATTGGAGGTAGCTGCTATTCTGTTCAGGTGCTGGGAAAAAAATGGGTCTTGTGTTCATAGTGTAAAATTGCTGTGGAATATGATTAGTCTGACCCATTTAATGTTTTGAAGGGTTGGGTTAATTGCAAATGCTTGATAGTATTTCTCCACCTTTACAAATGTGATAAATGATACTGCTTTGCATGTAATGATTACTTTCCTCAGGATGGCATTTGGGTTAGGACCCTGAAGCTGGGTTGTGCAGAAGTCTTGGTTTATTCCTCAAGTTTTTCCTAGGCAGGTCATTAAAGAATTGTATTTTTATGATCTTAATTATTTTTTCCCCTACCAGGTGGAAACACTCTAATTGCATTTAAAAATTAAATTTGAAATAAATAGGAAAAATTAATCACAATATCTACAGCAATGAAACAGGCTTGATCGGTTTTATCATTCTCAGTTACTAGAAGATCTTGATGTTTCTTAGAAGCCAAACATTTATATTCCATGAGGCTTTGCAGCTCTTTTTAGAAAATAATAACAGTGTGTTCTTGTCTTTTAATACATATATTAAAAAAGAAACACTGATTTGACCTTCTCTGTATATCTCACTGTCCTTTTTGAAGTCATTATTCTACTTAAAAGTGTGCTTTATCAAGGGAAAGAGATTTGTGCATATTCCTTAGTTTCTACAACCAGCTTTAAAAACTAAGAGAAATTATAAGCGCACATCCAGAAAAACTGTTGCTACTGAAGCCAGTTAATATGACTAAAGTATGGCATTGCTGACATTAGAAAAGAAGTTAAATGTAAAATTTTTATTTCTGTTTTTTATTTCCCTTGTATAACTCTTCCCTTGTAAAAATAAGTTCCATAAATGTCCATCATTGATTTTAAAGCCAAAGGTTTTGTTTCTGACAACATAGGTTGACCCCCTGTCCAAATAATACACATGGAAGATCCTTTCCTGTGAAATTATCCAGTAGGCACAATTTGGTCTTTGTGTCTCAGCACCAGAACTCATAGAGAAACATAATTCTAGAATTTTCTGTTGCCAACTCTTTGTGCATAATTTTTTATGGTCCCTCGATAGACATGTTTTTCTAGACATAAAATCTTCTTTCCATCTATAATTCTTCAGTTTTCTTGTGATTCTTAGAAAGTGACAGAGATCATATCCCTGAACTCTGGGATCATGGGAATGTTACTGCTTCACTGACTCAATTTGGATAGTATATATTCCCACAGGAAAATGATACTTCATGCTTCCTATTCATCCACAAAAAAATAACAGAAAAGCAGTAGTTAATGTGGCTTTGACACAGAGAGCAGTAAATACTGCCTATTTTTTTTTTAAATGTGCATGTTCAGCTTTGTATATTTTTATTATCTGTTATATGTGCAGAGATAATATGATAATCTGTTCTGTTTCAGAGGCCCTTAGGTTTTGTGTTTTCAAAATCTGTTGAAAGTTATTGTGGCAGAATGTGATTCTCACCTGCTGATGTAGATCACTTCACAAGAGAAAAGTCCTTCCCAGTGTCCACCCCTCCCCTCTCAAAGATCTTTGCTTTCCCAGATGTTTTCCTCTCATTTTTACCTCTAGGGGAACACAGAGGGAAAATTTTCTAATTGATGCTGGTGACCAGCCAATCTGCTGCACTGATGACAGTAGTAGCAAGGATTCACTCTGATCCTGATGCAATGGGCAGTTTTGGGAGTGTGCCTGGAGTCCCCAGTAGCACCACAAGGACTCCCTCAGATCTGTATTACTCCACTTTGCTGAACAGGCATGGCCTAGTTTCCCAGACCAGACA